GTCTGGAACCAGCTTCCAAGTGAGGTGGTGCAGGCTCCCACCCTGGGGGTTTTTAAGAGGAGGTTGGATGACCACCTTATTGGGGTCATTTGACCCCAGTGCTCTTCCTGCCATGGCAGGGGGTTGGACTAGATGATCTGCTCAGGTCCCTTCCGACCTTAGAAACTATGAAACTATGAACACCTGCACTCCTGGTTCAGGACCCTGAGCTACGATGGCACAGCAATCCCAGGCTGCCCCACAACCTCTGCCACTGCCTGGAGAGCTACCTGTGGCAGCCCTACCTGTCATCCCACCCCCCTGGATGCTGAGGAGGACATCACTGCTGGCATTGACACTTTCCTTGGTATATGAGGCCTGTGCCCATCTAGCTACAGGGACACAGACTGCTCAATAAAGTTTTGAACTGTGTTCTGCCTCTCTGTATGCTGTGTGGTGGGGGGAACCAGGGGCCAAGGGATTGTGGGCAAGCTGGGCAGGGAGTAGGGGCAGGAGCAGGGCTGGAGATTGGGACCTCTCCCAGTGCAGGACTTACCATGTGTGTCCAGGGTTGGGGAGGCTGGCAGCTTGCTGAGGGGCTCCCTGTCAGCAATGGCATCTGGCCGCACCTATTGTACATGGTCTGCAGTGAGTGGCAGACCAGCATCCAGACAGGGGCCTCTTCCCCTGGGAAGGAGCTGGTGCTGCTGGTGGGTGGTGGTGGCATGGCTGGCCACTCCTTGTCATTGGGTGTGGGGGTGGGCCATGGGTGAGGCAGTCACTGAGCAGGACTCCCCAAGCTGCTAGTGAATGCAGCAGCTGGGGAGGTAGGCAGAGCGGGGCACTGAAGGCCCAAGATACCCTCCTCCAGTAACACATCACTGGAGGCATTAGAGAAGGGTGTAGGAGAGGGAAAGACACCCCTGCTGGTGGCACACAGAGGGGTCTGGCCTGTCTTCCGGGGTGCCAAAATGTGGGTCAGCTCCCACATGAAGAGCATGGTCTTCTGGGCATGCCTGGAACAACAACTGAAGTTGGTCATGGCCACCCACTATACCCACGAGAGTTTGGCCTTCACAGAGCACTGCCATACCATCTGGGAGTGGCCTCACACACACATCCCATCTGAAATGGCCTCATGAATGTGGGCATTCAAGTACCCACACTGCATGAACTGCCTCTGGATGTCAGCCCCACCCCCCCGAATGCTACCTCCTCCTGGGTCCAGTTGGGGACTTGGGTGCTTGGGATGGGAATGGGCACTCAAGTGGAGCCAGGGCTCAATGGGATCAATATGCTGACCATGCTCCCTGCACTGGCTGTCTGGGTACCCATGCAGCTGTCCCTGTGATGCCGGCCCTGGACAGCTGCCAGCAGCACCCTGGAGAGGGGCATGGCCAGGGACAGGGAGCCATACAACCGAGGCACTTCACCACAGTGCCTTCAAAGAGACAGAGCTGGGGGTGAGCAGGAGCAGGTGTTGGCCCTGCTGCCATAGAGAGTAGGGCCAGCAGCACTGAGGGGAATCTCAGGGCTGGGTAAGGGACACAGAAGGCTGCAGCCCTTTTCAACACTCACCTGTGGCCAAGGAGCAAGTCCAGCTAGGGAACAGGACAGCCAGAGGCTGCCTGGATCCTTTCCAGGGAGGCACAAGGGGGCTGGTGGGCTCCTGGAAGCAGCACTGACTCCTTCAGGCTCCCTGTGCTTTGTGCCCCAAGGCACAACATGGCTGGAAGCTTGTATAGTCTGCAGCTAGAGACTGCCAGAAAGCAGCCCAGCCCTGGAGGAGGAGAGGCGGCTAGCCAGGAGCCCTGGGGCTGGGCTCTGGCCAGCCCCCTAGGGGCTGGGTAGACCCAGCACTAGAGTCCCTGCATTAATGCACATTAACGTGTCTACATCTGCATTAATGCACTTTAACTAATCACGCCTAAATTTTATACTTACTTTATGCAGGTATCAAACTTCGGTGGGATTAGCCTAAATTAGTCATTTTTAAGGTGCATTAAAGGTGTGCACATATGTTAATGAACATTAAATGCCCATGCATAGAGCAACAATTCTGGTACAGCTACACTTCCATTAGACCCAAGCACTGGAGTAGAAAGTTCTTCTCACCTCTACACAATTCTTACGAAATGTTACCAGTTCTGGTCCTGCCATTTCCAAATGTAGTAATGAGATACAGGGCAACACAAAGCCCAGAAGATAAACTAATCCTATTTTATTTAAGGATGATGCTGCAATAACTTGCAATTAGTCATAATTTAGAGACAAGTTAAGACATGTAAACAAGGAGTATCACAAATGGATAGCCAACACAAAGCAAAATACTGTTTCATACTCAAAGTAATGCAAAGCATTTTATGATGTAATTTAGTTTAATGCTGATAATACTGTGACTGTGGAAATCTCTTCTAATTGAACAATACTTCACATGGCCCATTCTGAATGCTTTTAATTGTAAGAGGTATATAATATTGGACAGGATATGTGGATTCTTTCCTTTTTTATCAAAAGTACAATGGGATATATCATTTCCATAAAGTTACCACCACAGTGTTGTCATACTTCCAGCATCTCCAACTGCAGCATTTCCCTGCATGCATTGTAGAGTTATCATTTAGTATTGCCTTAAATCTGGATAAATTAGTTGAACTTAACTCTCACATAGAGCTTAGCTGTTAGAGCTAGCACAGCTCTAAAAGTACCAATTTAAAAACACTAAGGTTTTAATGCATTAATTTTGAAGTGGACTTCTGTCAAGCTCTCTTTTGCTTCTTAGCATAAATAATCTAAATGTAATTGGGTAGCATACTGTCTGGTATGTTCCACATGCTCAAGGACATCCTAACTATTTTGCATGTGTAACAGGAACTACAGTTATAAACAAATATAAAACAACTGGCAAGATAACTATCTTATCAATACAGAAAAAAAAATTAGGGTATTGTGGGGAGAGGTGTCTGACTGATTTATACTCTGAAAAAATGTTTTTATTTATTTGAATTTGGATATTTAAGTATGAACTTTTTGTATGTCAATTACAGACCTAGACTAGGAGCAAATTCCAGTTCAGAACCTGTAAATGTAATAACAACCAATCAGAAACTGGAATACAGATGTCCTAAAATTAGTAGGGTAATGTTTGCTTTGTCGGATGGGAATTTGGGAGAAGGGGTTGTTTTGGGTTTTTAGACTAATAAAAGGGACAAACATCATGGCTGTAGCCAATCTATGTTTTTCCTCTATTATTTTTTTACCACAACAGATAGCAACAGACACGAAATACAAAGCCAGTAGACTATAGAAAGACTCTTAACAGGAAAAGCCATCCTACATTTTTGCTCAGCAGGTAAAAAACTCTGGTTTCAGCCCTAACTTGTAGTAGTCCATTTTTGCATCCTTCCTCTGTATCTATGGGTCTCCCACTGTTGTTAATATGAGAAAGCAATCTGCAAATTCAGGAAGAACAGGAAAACAATAGTTGAGTATAATATATAGCTTTGTGCTCATGAGACTTCCATTGGATAGGCATGCACAGACATTGTTAAAGTTATATGATTAATATAACCCAGTAAAAACAAATTTAAGTGCAGCTCTTTATTCTTTTAGAGAGTTTTCCTTTCATTCAACTGTTATATGTTGAGACTTCCAAGGCCATAACAAAATTCTATTATTATTATTATTATTATTATTATTAAAAAGTGTTAATTTCATTGTTAAATCCTTTTATCTATCCATCCAATAATCAGACTACTATGGTAGTATCACAGCTTTGCATCATGAATGGTCAAAATTACTCCAAGGACAATGAACTGGTAAACAGCAGCATACTCCAATACTGTAACATTTTGTAGTCTAGATCAGAGTCCCCAAACTTGACAGATTACACACCACCAATTTAAAATGATACAACCTTAAATTCCACCAGCACATTTTTCAGTTCATCCTTAAGTACCATCAGCAAATTCTTGTCATATAAAGTAAATATAAGAAATCTGTTAATGCAGGTCCTCTGTATACCACTGGTGGCACCCATAGGACAGATTGGGAACCGCTCATCTAGATAAAGACTTAGAAAGTTCTCTCTAGAATGAAATGAGACAATTTTTTTTGACAACCCATTTTTTCTACCAGAAAACGTTTAGCAGCAAAATACTGATTTTGAAAAAACTTTCATTGGAAAAGTGGAACTGGAAATGGACTTTTAGGTCCAAGATGGAACAGCCACTAGCCCAATGGTTAAGGACATTCACATGGGATGTAGGAGACATAGCAGGGAGCTCTTCTCTGGATTTTGTGGCTCACACATGGCCCTGTCCTCTCCTCCCAAGCTTGACCATAATTTTTACTGTGGTTGGTGTTAAACACCTAAATTTGAACCCTGCTATGCAGGGCCTCACAGAATGCTTACATTTATATTATGTAAAACAAATGACAGTAAAAAAAGTTTGGTTATCTGTAAAAAGTTTATAGATTGTCAAGAAAAATAAACCAATTTTTGGGTTGGCAACCCTGAACACAGGGCTGAACAGTCCGTCTCTGCCTCCATTGTTGATATTCCACTTTGTAGAAATAGCAACATACTCATTGGACCAGAGGGAGATTCAGGTAGAGTAAGGGCTTGAACCCAGCTTATCTACATCTTAGTAAGCTAGTAGCTATTCTAGTGCCTGACACTAACAAGAGACTCCCTTCAAGAAAAAAATATGAAAGATTTGAGCTTCTTTCTGAAGAGGGACAAAACAAAATTGAAAAATCACATCACTTTTCCAGGCAAGAGAATTCCCAACTTCTAGTCAGTTGTAATGCTAACAGCAAAGGAAAGGGACTTGGATCAAGAAATAACATGATGGGAGTGTTACAGAAAAGAAAGAAGGAAAGTAAAGAGAAGTTTCTCTAGGGCAGTACTCCATGTGTTAGGTCTAGAAAACATATCATAAGTAACAGAGCAATTTCAATTCTGAGGCAATTGTACTATTAAGGATTCCAGTGTCAATACAAACTGCTCAAACTTTCATCTGTGACCAAGTGCTAGAGTGTCTTCATAGAATTTACAGTCTACTCATGTCCCATTCATTATTAGTTTGATTCTTTTTTGGTTTTTTAATGTGATGGCAATATTTTTGTTATATTTAAACTTATGGCAATAATACCTATCTACATTTACAGTAAGTCTGTTCACCTGTGTGCCATTTTTAAAGTACCACGATGACTGATGTCACAGGTCAACAATAAATGCAGTCTCTCACTACGCAGAATAATCCTGCCACCGCTTTTTGACCCAATGTGTTAGACAAAGTTCAGGGTTCTACAGGCTGTTTCCATTAAAAGAAGAATCTGATCATAAAGTAAGTTTTCTCTGGTACTATCCTGCTTATTTACAAAGTATGTACAAAGTTCAAATTCTCTGATGACAGGAGGACTCAAACAGGGAAGAGTTTCTTTGCTGACAGCTCCAATTCCTATGACTGCTGTTTCTTATTATCTGACAAAAACCAATAACGAAACAGATTCAGAATAAAATGAGGACTACAGTTGTGCAAATAACTGATATTTCAGTTCACTGGATGTTCCTAGTGGGGAAAAGAACATGTATGTTTATGCCTTGTATTCATCCAAAACGTATTTTAAAAAATCCTTGTGTACAAAAGAGTCTAAAAAAAATTGTTGCCTTTGATTTCAGGCATTATTATATTTATATAACAACATGGAAGGACATTTCAACATGAAAAAATAGTTTTAGTTTAAAACCAACATTTAAAAAAATCAGAATGTTTTTGCATGCACAATGAGTGTACAGGGCACCAAGAGGACTAAAAATACTGAGCAAATGGATCCTTAAGGAGTCACAGAGAGAAGAGATCAATGACTCAGTGGTGACTAAGAAGAGT